AAAATAAGGGGGTATGAAACTCACCTTGGATGTTGATTCGGTTTTTGAAGAAAGAATGGAAGAAATGAAGTGATTTTTGGCCTTTCACTCCTTGATGAAGTTTTCGAGTTTATGGGGTTTCTAGAGTGCAAGATCACGATTTTTGCATGGATTAGGAAGGGATTTTTGATAAAACAAGGAATACAAGTCATAGATCCAAGCAAAACCTTACCTTAGATGATGATTTTTGTGGAAGAACTTCCTTGAATGCTTCCTAAATCTCGAGATTTTGGATGGAGAAGAAGAAAGAAGCCTTGAGTGATTTAGAGAGAGTTTGTGAGTGTTTTGTGTGTGTGTGGGTGTTGCTCTCGGCCGAGTTCAATAAGAAGAGAAGAGAGAGAGTTGAGTTGACAATCCTAGATGCATGTTGGTCCATGCATGGAGATATGTGGGATATAAGTGAGGTGACAAGGTTCTAAGTCAACTCTTCCTTCTTGGTTTTGGGCTTTTGGGCCGAGAATTTGAAATGGAAAGGAAAAAAAAATTGGGCTTTGATGTCCTAACCCATGTAGATGTTAAGTTGGATGGTTTTTAGTCCCAAAAGAAATATAGTATGATTTTTACACTTTGTTGGGCTAGTTTAGGTTAATCGTGGTTCAAAATTTTGTATTTGTTTCATTCTAGGTCCAACATGGCTCAAAATGTTGAAATAAATAGATGTGGGTCCAATTAGATCCCAATTAGGGTTCTAAGCCCATGATAGTCCAATTGGAAGCTTATTGGTCCATTTGGATCCAATAAGGAAGTTCTAGTCCAAAATGGACTTAACAAGAACTTCTAGGGTTTTCCAATTGTTTGATGTAGTGAATTGGGGTTTAGTTTCCCATTGAGTAAGCATCATACTTGTTTTTGAGTTTTTGATTTCAACATTTACTTGAGTATAGGGATTACAAGACATAGAATTTCTAGTTGTGACAAAGATGAACTTGTCAACTTTAATGAGAAGATCCTCGCAAACTCCTTTTGGATGACTTGTCGTCTTGTCAGCCAAATGGATCTTCATGTTTACCGGTCTTGGCTCTAGTAAGTTCAGTTTCTTGAAGAAAGAAAGAGGCATCAGGTTGATGCTTGCACCGGAATCAGTCAACGCTTGAGTGACAAATGTGTTTCCAAATTGACACAGAATTTTCATACTTCCCGGATCCCCCTTCTTTTCGGGTAACTCACTCAACATTATTTCTGCGACTTCAGCCAAGTCTTTCCTAGCAGCAAAGAGGCCTTTTAGTAAGTTGAAGTGCTTGGGTGTTGTAAGCATCGTCTCTACAAATGGCACATTGACTTGGAGGTCTTTAACATGCTTCATAAAGGATTTATAAGCTTCCACTTTTTCCACAGGCATGGCTTTGATTGGGAATGGCAGAGGGGGATTGTATGGCTTTAAGTGAATGGGAGTTTTGTCTTGTATGCATGGACTCGTCGAGTCCATTTGAGGGACTCGGCGAGTCGGGTCGGGTTTAGCTGGAATCGACTCTTCTGTCTTCTCTGTCTTGCTATTAGGGACCCTCTGTGCCTGTGTAAATTTTTTTCACAGCTGGAAGTTACCATACTCACATTTTCCATTCTTGGATTATTCTCGGTGTTACTTGGAAGTTGGCCCGGTCTTCTTTCATTCACTTGATGTGCAAGCTGTCCCAGCTGTTTCTCAATGTTGAGAATGGATGCCTGCTAATTCCTTAACATATTTCTGGTTTCTTGCATTGCTACATCGTGATCATTGTGTCTTTTTTCGGACGCAGTTATGAATCTAGTGAGCATTTCTTCTAAATTGGCTTTCTTTTCCATCACCGACTCTTCCTTTTGATAGAATCCCCTCTCCTTCTGCTTGTATTTCTCCTCCTTAGCCTTTTTATATTCTTCGTATGGGAGCCATTCCTTCTTTGGTTTCCTCCAATCTTCGCCGTATCTATCGCCACTAGAGTAAAACACTTGAGCCTTTTTATTTCTGTTTTCGTCTAGATCACAATCCTTGGTGAGGTGGGGCCCGCTACAATTTTCACATCCAAGTCGAATAGCATGGATTGTTTGATCCATTTTTGTCATCCTTCTATCTAGACTATCGAGCTTAGCTATTACCGCCGCCATGCTATCATTCATCGAGTTCACTGCTCCCCTACTTACTTCATTTCTCGGATTGTGGTATTCTCTAGAATGCTTAGATAATTCCTCAATTAACTCCTTGATTTCCGGAGGCGGCTTTCTGGTGAGCGGGCCTTGTGAATCGATCAATTTCCTTGTGGTGACATTGACTCCATCATAAAAAATGGAGACCTCTTGTTGGCTATTAAGGTCATGGTGTGGGCAATTTCTAAGCAAACCTTTGTATCTTTCCCAAGCTTCATAAAGAGATTCACCGGGTTGTTGCTCGAAGTTGGCGATGGCTTTCTTCAACTTAGCTATCTTGGAAGGCGGGAAAAAGTGGTCTATGAATTAGTCTTTCATCTTGGCCCATGTGGTGACCGATCCAGGAGGAAGTGACTTGAGCCAATCCTTCGCAGCACCTTTAAACGTGACTGGGAGCATGTGAAGTAGCTGGGTCTCGCGAGACACATTCGGTACATTGAAGTAGTCAGCCACATCATTTACTTCATCCAAGTGCTTGTAGGCGTCTTCGTGATCTTTCCCGTAAAAAGGAATCTCCTTGAGTTGAGCGAGAATATGGCCCTTTAGCTCGAAAGTAACGGTTGCGGGAATTGCGGGTTGCACAAGTCCCAGGCCGGTGTCATCACGCATCCTCTTCTTCCATTCCCCCATGGGGATTTCATCAATATTAGCCATAGCGGTAGCTAAATCGTCTTCAAACTCGGATCCATGTTCGTATGTGGATTCGTCCTCTTCCTCGGTCTCGTACTCGGTGTCTTTTTGAATCCGGTCTTCGATTGTCAACGAGGCACTGGATGCTCCTGATTTGTTGCTCCTTTTCTTGCTAAAAACAGACTTGAGGTTTTTGAGTGGTGAGTTCTTTGAAGAAGCGGATTCTCCAACGGTTTTGCCTTTGCTCCTTCTTAGTGCGGTTTCCGGATCTTCAAGAGGGGGGACCAGAGGTGTATCAGATCCTCGGGTCATGAAATAACTGCAAACAAAACAGAAAACGCGTAAAAAGAACAAAAAAATATAATAAAATTAAAGCTGATTTAGCGTCGTACTCGCCGAGTCTGCGCGATTGCACTCGGCGAGTCCAAGGTAAAATCAGGTTTTTTTTTTTTTATTTTTTTTTTTTTTTATTTTTTTTATTTTTTACTACCTACTAAATTAAACAGTAATTAACTTTGTGTAAGATAAATCTCACACAAAGGATCGATTGAATTAGAATTTAATGCTAATTTTAGAACCGTTCCCCGACAACGGCGCCAAAAACTTGATGTGCGTAAACTCACTTAGTTTTAATCCTACTTTCAGTTGTAAAATAAACACACAAAGGCAGTGTACCTATCAATTGTGGAATAGTTCAAGCAAGTAGGGTATCGAACACAGGGAACGGCAAATTAAAAATAAAAACTAATTCTATCTAAATTAATTAATAAGTAGACGGTTTTCTCTAGTTTTATAAGACTAGAAACTTACGAACTATTACTTAATCTAAAAACTAGAAAAACAAAGAATTAACTAGATTCAATAATACGAAGGAACTTCTGTTTAGTTCAACTCAATTGATCCTATGGTTGATTTCAAGGTAATAGTGCAATGGATTAATTCTTTTGTTGGTTACCGATTCAAGTGATTAGGTTCGCGTTCACTACACTAATCCTTAGCAAATAAACTAACTTAAACAGTGATCAGTTGTCTAATTCAATTTAGTTCACTAGATTAATTATTCGGATTACTTTAGACTCACAATATTTAATCAATTTGGTTTTAATTAACTTCTTGTTGATGGTCATCACACAAGCTTGCACATAAATTTACTTAATTTTCTTATTAATCCTAGTTTAATGTTCATTAGTCCTAGACATATAACAAAGTGGTCACAAGGTATATGAGGTTGATAATCAAACGATGTTCATGCTATTTAATTACCTTCCTATTAACATAAAATTAATTATCATTCACACACAAGGTTCTTTAGCAAGCTAAAATAACAAATAAATCACCAACATTGAATTAATCCTACCAATAATCAAACAATAGTCTCAATTTTGTATCCCCAAACAGAAGTTTAAGAGTTTTAGCTCATGATTGAAGTAAATAACAACACAAAAACGAATTCTAATTGTCTAACCATAGTGGAAAACAAAAGATTAAGTATAATGATGGAATTTGCCTCAAATCTCCTTCGGGATTGAATTGTAGCTTCTATCTTCGTCTTCTAGGGTTTCTCTGGCTTCTGAATCGCAGCTAATTACTCCAGAATTGTCCTAGAAGTTTTTTTCTCGATCTGAGAAGTTATCTATATATTTGCGTATCGACTCGTCGAGTCAGGTGGCGACTCGACGAGTCCGTCTCACAATATTCGTATGCGATAAGCATCTGGGTTCTCGAGTCATTATCTTCACTTGGACTCGCCGAGTAGTCGGCCCTACTCGCCGAGTAGGTGCTATTTTTGGTGTTTCTCTTCTTTATCCAATTCCCGAGCTCCTAACCGCTTCTCCTGCTTCCTTTTGCTTTCGAGCTTCATTTTTGGACTGAAAATACAATTGAAACACTTTTAAGTACCTTTTGTCCATGAAATGCAATAATTTAGCTAATAAATGAATAAAAATCTATACTTAATACAAACTAAATATGCACATATCATTGCCAAATATTCTTATACTATTTCTTGTTACATTTGGGTTTAGGGGCATCCGAAAGCTGCTTCTTTGAGAACAATTCCACTGCCTTTTCCAGATCTTTTTGCACGTCTTTTTGATGGAAATAGTGCTACTGGTAATTTTAGGAGTTACTCAACCCAATCATAATCAGTAGCTGGCGTATCCTCCTGTCGTGTTCCACCACTTCAGATCACCGCCACCCCTTTTGATGCAATGGATGATGATGGTGTTGACACTTCTCATCATAAGCCACCACCATCTGCTGCTTCACCTTCTGTAGCTTCACCTTTTACTGCTTCACCTTCTGCTGCTTCACCTTCTGCTGCTTCACCATATACTGCTACACCATCCGGTAACCCCAACAAAAGGGCTAAACCCTCAACTCCTGTAGCTCCTAGTGCCTCACCGTCTGCTTCTTCACCTGATGGAACTTCTATTACTGCTGACGATTTAGCATTTAAAATGAAGAAAGCTCTACAAAGTTTGACTAAAGGGTATACAATTCCTCAGTGTTTAGAGAAGTTAGAGGTCCTTCAGATAGGCCCTACAGATCCTTTACGCTTTGTCGCATATCATATTTTTGGAGGAACCATGAACATGAAAGAGATGTGGATTCATTTGCCCGATGTTCCCGAGATATTACGAGGGTGGCTTGAGATGTCGGGTACCAGTTTAGGAGTTTTGAAGGATGGGAAGATTGTTCGATGATTTTCTAGTGTTGAAACTATTTGTTATGTCTTTTTTGCCCTTGTTGGAACTACTTTGTTAAATGTTTTTGCCTTTGTTAGAACTATTTTGTTAGGTCTATTTGCCCTTGTTGGAATTATTTTTTGTTATTTTGTTACTTGGAGTATGGTTTATGTAATGTTATTTTGGTACTTGAAATATGATTAATGGCATGTTTATTTGATACTTGAAATATGGTTTATGTAATGTTATTTTGGCTTGAAATATGATAAATGGAATGTTTATTTGATACTTGAAATATGGTTTATGTAATGTTTTTTAAAGTTCTACTTTGTTCATTTTAGGTTCATATGGATCACGATCAAAAGTTACGTCTCGTAATTCTAATGTACCTATACATCCGTTATTTTTGGAAGAGGGGTGTGAAACGATTGCGGGATAATGATTCGGAAATGACGGGACACGAATACACATTGGAGTTATTAGACCGTAATCGTTTACAATGTGTTGAAGTATTACGCATGTCCCGTGAATCTTTTGTACGACTATCTGATCATTTTAGAGCAAATTACTCATTAAAGGACAGCAAACATGTATCAGTTGAGGAAAAGATAGCTATGTTTTTGATGATGATCGGACATAATCAACGTTACGTGATTATCAAGCGGAGATTTCAACACTCGAAGCAAACAATTCATAAATTTTTTATGAAGTGATGGAAAAAATGATGCTTTTCGCACAAGATGTTATAGTACCAACATCTTTTAATCCGAATCCAAACATTCCAGGACATAATAGGAGGCTACGAAGGGTTTTCAAAGGAGCAGTTGGTGCACTTGATGACACTTTGATACATGATGTTGTCCCTGCTAAGAAACAAGACTTATATAGAAGTACGTATTGGAAATTTGTGATTTCAATATGATTTTTACATTTGTTGTGACCGGGTGGGAAGGGGTAGCGCATTACTCTAGAATATTATCAAAAGCAGTAGCCGATCCACAAGCATCATTCCCGTTTCCACCACCAGGTAAAGTTTTGTTTTTTTTTTAATATTTTTATCTTAATTTGAAAATTGATTAGTGTTTTGCATTTTTTTTCACACAAATATTATCTTTGTGATGCCGCGTATGCACACACTCGAGGATTTATGGCCCCTTATCGTAATGTGAGGTATTGGCTTGGAGATTTTCGTCAAAGACGTGCATTGATCAATAAAGAAAAATTTAACCATGGACATGCAAAACTTCGGAATGTCATTGAGCGTGCTTTTGGTGTTTTGAAAGCACGCTTCCCTATATTGAAGATGATGAAACCATTCCCGTTTGTGACACAAAGAAACATTGCATTGGCATGCTTCACGCTTCATAATTATATAAGGAAAGAAGGATTGAGTGATGAATATTTCGCACGATACGATGAACCCAATGTCCCGTTTCGAAATAACAATGTCGCCATTGATGATGATGAAGACGTGATTCCAACACATGGTACTGCAGCAGACCGTGAATATATGACCCAGTTACGGGATGAAATTGCTGATCAGTTGATGCACAATATTGATTGAATTGTTTTAAATGAAATTGTTATTGTAAAACATTTTTTTTATTGTATGACTAATTTAGTTGCATGAATTTTATTTTCAATGTTATAAGACTATTATTATTAAAATTTTGGTGTTGAAAAATTATTTTAAGTTTGTAAAATAATTTTATTTAAAATTCAGTTTATTTCAGCAGCCTGCAGACGTTAAAAAACAAACAGTCTTCTTATTGCAGACTGCAGACGTTTGGTCCACCTCTTCTGCTGCAGAGGCTTGCAGATGTGGTCCGCAGACTGCAGACATTTTGGCTTCAGAAAAACAAACAGCACCTAAGTCATTTTTCCGACTAACCAGGAGTAACCGGTCATAAGGACTGAATGTGTACAGTTTAACAAGTTGAAGAGATAAATATAAACGAAAAAAAAACTCAGAAACCAAATGTGTATAAATCAAAAAATATATTACCTTTTTTTAGGGCTGTCAGATCGGGTAGTCGTGTCGTGTTTTTGTCTGACACGACACGATAAGGTTTTGTGTTACACGAACACGACACGATATCGTATTTTTTTTCACTAACACGAAAATGAACCAATTAAAACACGACACCACGACACGATATGACAAATATAACATTACATAAATATCATTTTATTTAATTCATACTTAATCATGTATAACATGAAAAAACGATAAACACCATAAACACATGTTCAATCGTGTCAATTTCGTGTCGATTTATGAACACGAACACGACACGACATCGTGTTTCTTAAACCTGACACGAAAACAACACGAACACGAATTCGAATTCTAATTTGTCACGATTTCGTTTTGTGTTGTGTATTTTCGCGGTGTTCTCATAAATTGACCCCCTACCTTTTATAAAAAGTCATTATCCTTTCTTTTGCCGATAGAATTATCAGGACTTTGGAAGGTTTGACAGAGAAAATGATTGGAAACAACAAATAGGCTCTGTTGGTGACGATCGATCATAATGAAGAAGACGATCGGTAATTGGTAAATCAATTTTATGTCGGTGGACTGGAGATTGTGTTTTGCGTATTGTAGGTGTATATAAAATGCACATAAAATATCATGCGATATATAAGGTAGATATTGAAATCGATTTCAAATATGGATATAGAATCTGGGAAAATTTTGTGGATGCCCACAGCTATATTAGATGGGATTTATATGGAAATAAGATAACTGGCGTCGTTATTCATCCGGTTTCACTTTTTCCCTCTTCCGTCGACTTAAAACACTTTTCAACGCATCAAAAGTAAGTTGTATAATCGGCGAGATTTCGATTATTGTTTTTCGTGTGAAATTGTATTTGATTTTTAACAAAACATCGCTTAGGGTTCTACATATCAGTTTTTGGGATTTGACCTAATTTTTTGGGATTTTGTTTGAATGTAGGTAAAATGACTGACATCACTGCAGAATTGAATGAGGTATCGTAACGATTACAGTTTGGATGATCTTGTTCTTGATCCTGAAATTGATATTCCTTTATTTTTATTGTTATCCAGATAACTCATATCAAGGTTAAAAAGGACGCCCACATAAAGGAATTGGAACAAGAGATGCATCACTGCATTAGGAGGATTAACAGTTTACCAGATGGCCATCCAGAGAAGGAGACATTGATTGAAAGATATACTGATGCTTATGTCATGAAAAAACTGTAAAAGTTTAGAACATTATTATCTCTTTTTATCATTGAGAAATTCCTAACCTTTTTTGTTATTTTTCTTTCAGATACCTACAAGATAAAGTACAGTTAACCAATAAAGCATTGAAAGTCAAAAATGTTTGTGACTGCATAAGGCTAAAGGGTGTGGCTGCGGTTTGGGGCCGCGGTTTGTGCCACCTCAGCAGCGCACATCGCCCCCAGGCCGCGGTTCTCAGCGGTTTTGGTCGCAGTGCGGTAGCCCATGGCCGCATTCCTTTTTCTTTTTTCTCCTCTTTACTTGCACTCTCTCTCCTTACAACCAATTATCTTCTTTCTTTTCTTTTTTCTTTCTCTCTCCTAACCTTTTTCCCACTCCCTCATTGCGGTTTCTAATTGATTAAATAAAAACAAATCTGAGTTGGTGTCTACGTGACATAGGAAAGAGTGCGGTTTCGGTGGCACCACTTCCTCCAGCCTAAGAAGCTGGGTGAAAAGCAAGGTATGTTTAAGTTAATTAGCTGTAAACAGTATAGGTTGGTTTAAGTGACCATAAAAGACAATAATTATATATCAAGATTAACTTTATTCATTATGCAGATTAATGGGTGCACCTGATGATGTTGCAGAAGAAGGGAATTGCTTAGGATATTTATTTTAATTGTCATATCAGTATCACTTTATGGATTTTGGATTTGTGTTATGCTTATGGATTTATTTTATTTTAATGGAGTAAATGATTATGAATTTATGTTATTTTATTTCGGTATCCCTTTTTTTTTTTTTTTGGTTTTTACTCTTGTTACATTTCTTCTTTTGAACTAGGGAGTGTAGACAACTAGTTAAGGGGTGTTATCACAACTAAAAAATGTCACCTCACATGCCATGTATTGTGTTATAACACCGAATGGAAAAAATGAGGAACTAGTTATAACATCTTTAAGTTTGCATGTCATCATTTCTTTTTTTCTTTTTCTTTTTTCGATTTGATTTTTATTTTTTAAACAAAATTAATTAATTAATTAAAACATGTTATTTAAATAAAACCTATTTTTTGAATTAAACATTTAAAAACATTACGAAAACATCACATTTAAAAAAAATTACATTTCGCCCCTAATTTTTTCATTTTCATTTCCATCATACATAAAATCAGCTAAATCCTTTCGAAATTGTCTGTGTTTTAGTGCACCTTGAATATCTACGACCCTATGTAAATATTTCGTTGTTCTGGGTTGAAATTGCATGTGTTTGGGCTCCGAAGCCGAATACTTCGCAATGTTTCGTTTTTTTATCTTCAACCATCATGATATTATGTAGAACGTCTAACTGATATGATCGTATTGCATGCTCAACTATGTGCCATTTGGACTTCAGAACTCCAAAAGCACGTTTTACATCCTTACATGTTCCTTCTTGTTTTCTCTTGATTTTTTTTTCTCTTGGTGTTATTGGGTGTCGAAACACCTTCACGAATGTGGAATATGTTGGATATATTCCATCCGTAAGGCGTTCCATGATGATCACTTACGTACTGACATTTCCATTTACTGTGAAAGGAGCATCTGGTGCCTTCCCTGACAAAATATCGTCGGAAATCGGTGATTGATCAAGAACATTCACGTCGTTATTCGAACCCGCAACCCCAAAAAAAGCATGCAAAATCCATAAATTTTGGGACGCAACAGCCTCCAATACTAACGAAGGCGTTCCATGATGACCACTTACGTACTGATATTTCCACGTCACGGGACAATTTCTCCAAGCCCAGTGTGTGCAATCAATGTTTTCTAGCATACTTGG